AGAAAGAAAAGAAAGTTACACTGTTTAAAAAAAAAAAAAAAGAAAGAAAGAAAGAGGGACTGGGCCTGGGGCTGGGGCTCAGTGGCAGAGCACTCGCTTAGCATGTGTGAGGCTCTGAGTTCAATCCTCAGCACCACATAAAAATAAATAAATAAAATAAAGGTATTATATCCAACTACAACTGAAAAAAAAAAAGAAAAAAGAAAAACTGTCACCATGGGCTGAAGATACAGCTCAGTTGTAGAGTGTTCACCTAGCATGTGCAAGGCCCTGGGTTCAATTCCCAGCCCAAAGCTATAAACTTATTCTGGCAATGCTCAAAACATTTCTTTTTGGTGTTGCTAGGAGCCAGGCCTGATGGCACATACCTATAATCCTAGCTATTTGGGAGGCTGAGGTAGGAGGAATACAAGTTTGAGGTCAGCCTGGACCAGTTAGCAAAATCCTGTCTCAAAACAAAAATTAAAAGGGCTGAGTGTGTAGCTCAGAGGAACAGCAACCCTGGGTTCAATCCCTAGGACGTCCCCCTCCAAACACACATACACAACTGAATGTAGTTGAGAGGCAGATGATCAATATGGCTAGCACTATTACAGGTGTGTCCCACCAAGCCTGGCTATCCTCAGTTCTTTAAAAAATAAATAATAAATATATATATATATATATATATATTTTAGTGATGAACACATTTTTATTTATTTATTTTTATGTGGTGCTGAGGATGGAACCCAGTGCCTCATATATGCAAGGCAAGTACTCTACCACTGAGCCACAACCCCAGAACCCTCCTCAGTTCTTAAGAGAGGTAAAGAGCATAAGTTTTAAGAGTCACAAAGATTTGGATTTGGATGCAGGTACCAGCTTTAAAATTGAATGGTTCATTCCTTGATGGTAAGTAGCTAAATCTCTCTGAGCTTCCCTTTCCTCATCTGTAAAATGGGAGGATTAAAGAAGATAACAATGGGCAAGCACAACACTGCCACATAGGAGGTAATCGATAATGGCTATAATTATTATCAAGCTAGACTGGGAGACATGGAAGCAGGAAGTGTATCTTAATGTAACTGTATCTTAATTTAACAGTTAATAATTATTGTGCACCCACTATATCACAACCTATCACATAGTGGGTGCACAATAATTATTAACTGTTAAATCTTAAGGATTTTTTTTTTTGTTGTTGTTGCTTTTGCAACTAACACCAAGTACACATTCTGGTGAACAGCAAGAACTTAACAATGTTCTGAACAAATAAAACAAAACTTATTTCTATGAACAAACCCTCAAGCCTTGCTTTGTAGTAAAGAAGTCAGAATAACCAGCATCTGTAGCCAAAAGCCCAACAAATTGCATTTCAGGTCGCTGCTGTATAAATCGCTCTACAGCTCCATCAGTGATACAACTGCCGCCAGAAATATCCAGGGACACAACATTTGGCAGGATATCCTCCTGCTGTAACAAATGAAAAGCTAAGTCTGATTTGAGTTGCCTGTGATTGGAAATATCAAGGTGACGCAGATATTGAAGTTCTCTGATGACTCCAAGAATTTGTGGTTTGGTCATGGTCAGGCATTTCAGGTAGTGCATTGTAAGAAACTTGAGTCGATCCTTACAGTTAAGGAGTGCAGAGATGTTCGTGACCAGAGTATTGGAGATGTCCAAGTTTTCCAGGTTTGGTAACTGAGAAACATTAGCCAGATCTTCAGTATGAAAGCAAACGTTGAAAACACTTAAAATACGAAGTCCAGTGAGCTGACCAAAGGACAGCTGTTTTGAATCTTGAGGAATGCTTGTCGAGTCTAATAGCAGACACCGGAGATTTTGCTGGATCCAGCTATTGCTGCAGAGTCCACTTAAGATATCTGGGATTGGAAGGTCAGAGTGCACTGCAGTGGCATCTACTTCAACAAGCTTATGATGGCAGAAGGCTTTTATGAAGGCAGCTGCAGAGATTTTAGCTTTCTGGATATTTACCATCTTCAGGTTCATTTGGTTGCCTTGGAAAATACTTGCTGTTCTATCAGTCAGCTTGCCTATAAGAGAAGCAGAGCTAGCTTGTAATGACAATGAGATCTCATGTCTTTCCAAGATGCAATGTGGAATGAACAGACGGACAGATGCTAAGAATAATAAAGACTACATTTACCACTCACTCTGTGCTAGGCATTGTTCTAAATTCTTTACCAAGATCATCTCACTCTTGCACTAACATATACTACTACTACTATTATTATATAGATGAGGAAACTGAAGCTTGAAGAGGTTAAATAACTTGCAAGTTTAAAATATGTGGTAAGTTGGACTCCAGAGACCAAAGTGATATTTATAGTAAACTTATTTATAGAAATGAAAAATGAAACCAAACAGGTATGTAAATGACATATAAATGTAAATAACTCTTTGCTTACTGATCACTTTCCCCCTCCCCCAGTACTGGGGATGGAACACTAAGCCTTCCATCCATCTTTTTTTTTTTTTGAGGTACATTTTGCTAAGTTGCCCAAGATGGCCTTGGATTTGCCCTCTCAAACTCCGAGGCGCAAACAATCCTCCTGAGCAGCTGGAACTACAAGCGTGCCTCCCTGCTTTACCTAATAATTTCTCTGCATCTTTCTATGTTTAGATATACAAATATTTACCATTATGTCACAATTGCTTATAGCACTCAATTGGGTAACATGATATATGGGTGTATATCCTAGAAGCAACAGGCTTTACCATCTATCTATGTTTGTGTAAGTAAATTATGATGTTCACACAGTTTGTTTGTTTGTTTGGTACTAGGGATTGAATTTAAGGGCACTCTACCACTGAGCTACATCTCTAGCCCTATCTATTTTTCATTTTGAGACAGGGGCTCACTATGTTTCCAAGGCTGGCTCACTATGTTTCCAATTCTCCTTCCTCAGCCTCCTGAATCGCTGGTATTACTAGTAGGTACCACCCATCTGGCAGATCTTTTTTAGAATATGTGCCCATTGTTAAGTGTGCCATGGCTGAAGTCAAGAAAGTATGTAAACCCAGGTAGTCTGGTTCTAAAGCCAGAGCTCTAAATCTTTAATCCTTACTGCCTTTAAGGGGAAGCCAAATAAGTAGAAATCTTATTAGGCAGCAGCCACTGAGAGTGGAACAAAATTAAAAGAATATCATGACTCAGCAACCCAGAAAAGAAACAGGAAAACAAGGAGATATTTGGACACATGGTTCTGAAGCTCAGAATAAAGGACTAAGCTGAGAAATCTGGGGAATTAGTAGTAGTAACTAAACCTAGGAAAATTACCCAAGAAGTGTGCAAAGTAAGAAGGGTTTTCAATGTCATGTATATTTAAAAAAATAAAAATATATAAAAAAGAAGGTATTCAAAATAAAACCTTACTTATGGTATATACAAGCAGAAAGCTAACTGTGGAACAGCTCAGAAAACAAGAAGAAATCAGAAACACACTAAGTCAGAAAAGTCAACGACAGCAAATGAACACAACAATTCTAACCTCAAGAACTCCTGCTTTTGGGTGTTTGCAATGATAATCCATCTACAGACATAATAATCATAGCAACAATCAGCCAGAAAAACTTCATAGAACCATGAATGAAGTACAAGGAAACACACACACACAGCCTGAATCTGATCAAACATCCAATTAACACTAAATACAGGGATCAGAGAAACATGTCAATATCAGAGCACACAAGGATGGATGGAGGTAGAGCACTTGCCTAGCATGTGTGAGGCACTGGGTTAGATCCTCACCACCACATAAAGTAAAATAAAGACATTACAATCACCTATAACACATATTTTATATATATATATTATGTGCTCAGTTAATAATGGCAAAATCCAGATTGTATAAAACTCTACAGAACAAGCAACTGGTTTCTTTAAAGCACACACACATAGTGGCAACATGCCTGTAATTTCAGCTACTTAAGAGGCTTGGGCAGGCAAATCACAAGTTTAAGGCCTGTTGCAAAATTTTTTTAAAAAATGGGGGTGCTGGGGATGTAGTTCAGTGGTAAAGTGCCCTCTGAGTTCAATCCCCTGTACCAAAAAACAAAAACAAAACAAAACAACCAGGCCTAGGGTAGAGATGTAGTTCAGTGGTTAAAGTGTTCCTTCCTAGTTTCAATCCCTAGTGTTAAAAAATTAAAATAGTAATGGTATGTAGCTCAGTGGTAGCATCACTGGGTTCAAGCCCTGGTACAAAAAAATACAAAGAAGAGAGAAGGAAGGAGACAAGGAGGGAAGAGGGGAAATAGAGGGAAGGAAGGATAGAAGGAAGAAAGAAAAAAAGAACAAGCCTCAAACTTTTAAGAAACCACAAAAAACTCATAATAACCAAAGCTAGCTTGAGCCAAAAAAACAAAGCAGAAGTCATTACACTACATGACTTCAAATAAACTACAAAGCTACAGTAATGGAACCAGTATGGGGACAGGAGGTATAGCTCCGTGTAGGGAACTCAGCCTAGCAGGCTTCAAGTTCTAGGTTAGATTCCCCAGCACTCCAAAACAAAACAAAAATACTGGTATAAAAACAGACACACAAACCAGTGGAATAGAACTGAGAACCTAGTAGTCAACACACACTATCTATAGCTCCTGATATTTCACCAAAGAGCTAAGAAAATGCAATAGAGAAAGACAGTCTTTTCAATAAAACAGTGCTAGGAAAATTGGATATATATATCCACATACAGTAAAATGAAACTTGATCCCTACCTTTCACCAGTTACAAAAAAAAATGCAAAATGGATTAAAGACTTACATGTGAGACCTGAAAGTATAAAAGTACTAGACGAAATGCTTCAGGACACTGGAAGTACAGAAAACAAAAAAGCAAAAAGAGGCAAATAGGATTACAACAAACTTAAAAACTTCTGGGTTCAGCAAAAGAAACAAATCTACAAATGAGAGAAAATATTTGCAACTATGCTTCTGAAAAGGTGTTACTATATAAAGAACTCAAAACACTCAACAGGGAGAATTAATACTAATCTGATTAAGAAATGAACAATAGGGGCTGGGATTGTGGCTCAGAGGTAGAGCGCTCACCTACCATGTGTGAGGCACTGGGTTCAATCCTCAGCACCACATAAAAATGAAATAAAGATATTGTGTCCACCTATAACTAAAAAATAAATTAAAAAAAAAAGAAAGAAATGGACAATAGCTGGGCACAGAGGCACATAACTGTAATCTCAGCAACTGGAAAAGCTGAGGCAGGAGGATTCCAAGTTCAAGGCCAGGTTCAGCAATTTAGTGAGACCTTGTCTCAAAATTAAAAAATATTACAGCATCCCCAGCATCAATCTCCCAGTAGCGCGCGCACACACACACGTTCATATCCATAATGTAAAGAATAGGAGATGATACTACAGCAACAGCATTTTGAAAAATATAAGATGGACAAGTGACAACTTAGTTTTCCATTTACCCGGTAAGCCAAGAGAAGAATGAACTTAGAATCAAAACAATTTCTATCATAGTATCTGAGAAAGACTGAAACTCAACTTTCACACAAGTAAAATGCAAATAATTTGTATGTAAAGGTGCTTTTCAAATAGTAAAAAAAAATTGCTGTGAGAGTGAGAGTAGTCTATAGAGGAACCTTATTACCTTGATAAACCATCATCCCAAGGAATCGATCAGCTATTTCCTGAGGGAAACTCCAATGCTCTGGAAAGCACAGTGTTCCATCAGGTTTCTCAGAACACAATTCTTCCAGATTAGCAATCAGGACATTCATGCAGATGTTGGCCAATGTATAGGGTGATGCCTCCTCCTAGCAAACAAATTCCAAACCTTGTTAGAACACATCTGCAAATATTCAGCATAAAAGTGGTCATGCCTATATTCCTACTCTAATAATGATTTACATGTAATAGAACCACCTTGGGCTGGGGTTGTAGCTCAGTGGTAGAGCACTTGCCTTGCACGCATGAGGCATTGGGATGGATCCTCAACACCACGTTAAATAAATAAACAAATAAAGATTTTAAAAAATCTCAATTTCAGTTCAATATCTGGGATTTTTCAAGCAGAGATCACATAAGTAATTCCTTCAAGATGCATTTTTTTTTCTTTGTGTGTGTGTGTGTGTGTGTGTGTGTGTGTGGTGCTGGGGATTAAACCCATGGCATTATTATTGCAAGGTAAACACCCTACCAACCCTGAGCTAAATCCCCAGTCCCAAGGTACATTTTTTTAAGTTATTATTCTGTGACAAAGGATAAAAAGGCCTATTCCCACTTTCAAAGATGTTCACAACCAGGATTAGAGGATGTACCTCAGCGGCAGAGCACTTGCATGAGATGCATGAGGTTCTTGGTTCGACTCCCAACAGAGCAAAAAAAATTAAATGTATGGTGTGTGCCTATTGTCCCAACTACTTGGGTTACTGAGGTTGGTGGATCACTTAAGCCCCTAAGTAGGAGACCAGTCTGGGCGACATAGTGAGATGCCAGTTAAAAAAAAAATAAAAAGCCAGACGCAGTAGCACACATCTGTAATCCCAGTGGCTCAGGAGGTTGAGGCAGAAGGATCCTGAGTTCGAAGCCAGCCTCATTAAAGGCGAGGTGCTAAGCAACTCAATGAGATCCTATCTCTAAATAAAATACAAAATAGGGCTGGGGATGTGGCTCAGTGGTCATGTGCTCCTGAGTTCAATCCTTGGTAACCCGCCTTCCCCCCCCACCCCCAAAAAAGGTGCTTTAAAAAGAGTTGAGGCTAGGGTTGTGTGGTTCAGTGGTAGAGCACTTGCCTAGCATGTGTGAGGCACTGGGTTCAATTCTCAGCACTGCATATAAATAAATAAAATTAAGTCCATTTACAAGTAAAAAAAATTTATAAAAAAAGAATGGAGAACTGAAAGGGAGGTGAGACTCTAGAGGCACATGGTCCCTTTCTCATCCAAAATAGGTTGATATGGTACTATATTAGACCCCAAAAGATTAATATGCTGGAGATTGCTAACTTTTTCAGAAACTTCAACATGCAACACATCTCTGACCTCCACAGCATTTTGAATTTCTTAAATTCCTTCCATGGAAGTTGGGGATGTAGCTAAATGGTGCTCTTGCCCAGCATGCACAAGGCCCAGGATTTAATCCCCAACACCACAGAATAATTAATAATAAATAAACATGATGGCACACACTCAGGAGACTAAGGCAAGAGGATCACAAGTTCAAGGCCAGCCTGGGAAACTTAGCAAGATCCTATCTCAAAATAAAATATACAGGGTGGGCATGTAGCTCAGTTCCAGTGATACAGAGCTTGCCTAGAATGTGTGAGGCTCTGAGTTCAACTCCAGTGTCTCGAGGGGTGCAGGGAAACATGGGGACCAGGCTTGATGGCACAGGCCTAATCCCAGCTACTCAGGAAGGCTGAAGCAGGAGATTCCAAGTTCAGCAACTTAGCAAAGCCCTTTGCAAAATAAAAATTCTTTATAAAAAGATCTGGGCATGTAGCTGGACACAGTGATACATGCCTGTAATCCCAGCGGCTCAGGAGCCTGAGGCAGGAGGATCACAAGTTAAAAGCCAGCCTCAGCAACTCAGCAAGACCCTGTCTCTTAATAAAATTTAAAAAGAGCTGGGGACATGGCTTTGTGATTAAATATCCTTGGGTTCAATCCCTGCTGAGCCACAACCCCAGCCCCTGCTTTCCATATTCCACCAAGAACATTATTGCCTTTGCCATTACAAAATCTGATACTTTTTTTTGAGGGGGGGGCACTGAATTCAGGGGCACTCAACCACATGAAGCCACATTCCCAGACCTATTTTGTATTTTATTTAGAGACAGGGTCTCATTGAGTTGATTAGTGCTTGCTTTTGCTGAGGCTGACTTTGAACTTGTGATCCTCCTGCCTCAGCCTCCTGAGCCACTGGGATAAACAGGCATGTGCCTTCGTGCCTGGCCTAACAGATACTTTCTGATACTCTTCATAGTGACTCTCTTCAGCAGATTCAGATATAACTAACCATTCCTTTCTTCAAACACTTTCCTTGGCTTCTGTAGCAACACCTTCCTTTCCTTTCCTGTTCTATTTTACCTTATTTGCTCCTTTTTATCTGAAGACTTTAAATGTTGGAAATATTCAGAGTTTCATCCTAGAACTGTGCTGTCCAATTTGATTGCCAGTACTCACATGTGGCTATTTCCATTCAAATTAAAATAAAAATTTCAGGGCAAGCCACATTTCAAGAGACATATGGCTAGCGGCTACCATACTGGGTAGTGCAGATATACAACATTCCTTTATCACAGAAAGTTTTCCAGGACAGCACTGTGCTAGGCCCTTTCTTTGCTTCTACAATATATAACTACTGATTGTCTGACTAAATGCTCTCTCTAAAGCCAATGAATTCCAGATTATTATCTCCAGGTCAGACTTCTCTTTCAGCCAGTCTTGGATATCCAATTGGCTACTACTGATGTATCACTTAACTGTGTTACGAAAACATTTCCAACTCATCCTGCACAAAAATGAACTTTCCCAGTGTTTCCCAGCTCCAAAAGTGCTATGTATCTTCAGCTGATGAATCTACCACACCTCCTGGTCTTTGACCAAAGCTGCCAGCCAGTATCCAATGCATCAGCAAATCCCATGTATTCTACCTTGTATACCACTTACCTCCCACCCAGATTCACAAAAAACTCAAAGATGAGGGAACGGAGGAGAAAGTTAGAACGTATTCTAGTTTCCACGTGCTGCAATAAACAATTACCACAAAACTGGCAGCTTAAAACAACAGAAATCTATTTTCTCAATTTCAGAGAACAAAATTCCAAAATCAACGGGTCAGCAGGGCCACATTCCCCTCTGAAGGCTGTAGGGGAGAATTTTCCTTGAGTGTTCTAGCTGTGTTGGCTCTTAGCTCTCCACAGCTTATTGAAGCATCACTTTGCTCTCCACCTTCATCTTTATGTGGCCTTCTTCCATATCTCTGCTCAAATCTCCCTCTCTTTGCTTTTATATATAATATATTCATTTATCAGAAAGTGCTAGGGATCCAACCTAGGGTCTTGAGTGTGCGAGGCAAGCACTCTACCACTAAGATATGCTCCAGTTACCTTTCTTTTATGAGATTATCACTATAATAAGTGGTATTTAGTTGATTTGGAGTACATCCTAAATTTAGATGATCTTACCAAGAACTTCAACTGGGTGCAGCACACCTGTAATCCCAGAGGCTTAGGCGGCTGAGGCAGGAGGACCACAAGTTTAAAGCCAGCTGTCAGCAAATTTAGTGAGGCACTTAGCAACTCAGGGAGACCCTGTCTCTAAATCTAAATAAAATATTTAAAAAGGGCTGGGGACCCAGTCTCTGAATAAAATATTTAAAAAACAGCTGGGGACATAGCTTGGTGGTTAAGCACCTCTGGGTTCAATTCCTGGTGCAAAAAAAAAAAGAACCTCAATAGCATCTATAAAGAAAGACCCTCCCAAATAAGGTCAAATTCACAGATAGCAGGAGTTGGATTGTAGACATATTTGGGGGGAAACAATTCAATTCACTACAGCATATGTCCCTAGCTCTCTGAAAAGTTACCCTGGGTTGGCAGTGTCCCTTAACCAGTCCTCTAAAATTCAGCCCTTTTTCCTTTTGTAAGGTCCTCTGGGTGGTAAACTGCTATTACCAGGCATAGAATACTATATGCAGGTATGAAGACACATGCCTGTAATCCCAGTGGCTGGGGAGGCTGAAGCAGGAAGATCAGGAGTTCAAAGCGAACCTTAACAAGTTAGCAAGGGGGCTGGGGATGTGGCTCAAGGGGTAGCGCGCTCGCCTGGCATGTGTGCGGACCAGGTTCGATCCTCAGCACCACATACAAAGATGTTGTGTCCACCGAAAACTAAATAAATAAATATTTTTTTAAAAAAAACAAGTTAGCAAGGCCCTAAGCATCTCAGAGAGATCCTCTCTCTCTAAATAAAATATAAAAAAGGGGTAAGGATGTGGTTCACTGGTTAACCACCCATGGGTTAAATCCTTGGTACAAAAAAAAATTTTTTTTAATTAAAAATACTGTATGACTTTTTCCATACTTGACCCTTATTATATTTGGAAACAGCCCCTTAAACTCTCCTTGGATTATCCCTATTTTGAATCTGTCATTTGTTTCCTGCTTGCAAATGGCAGAAATAAATTTCTAGACTATCTCCTCCTTTCTAGCCCCACCATAAGTTTTAAACCCAAGTCACTACTATTTTACCTAGCGTACTACAAATCTGCAAATCAGTTTTTCCACTTTCACTTCTAATTCTTTTTCCAATCTATCTACCCATAAGACAAGACTCACCATTGTTAAAGTATAATTATACTATATGACTGGTTTTTTAAAAAAGAGAGACAGAATTTTTTTTAATATTTATTTTTTAATTTTTCAGCGGACACAACATCTTTGTTTGTATGTGGTGCTAAGGATCGAATCCAGGCCGCATGCTACCGCTTGAGCCACATCCCCAGCCCACTATATGACTGTTGTTAACTAGAAAATGCTCAAATGAGTACAAGGTTAAAAAAAAAAAAAAAGAAACTACTGCTATAGGCAATCAACAATCAGATAGAAAACAGAATTTGTTTAAGTTACAATACCATTTTTAAAATATCAAATAAAGAGCTGGGCATGGTGGTGCACATCTGCAGTTCCAGCTACTCAGAAAGCTGAGGCAGAAAGATCACCTGGGTTCAAGGCTGATCTGGGCAATGCAGTGACACCCTGCACCTTAAAAAAAAAAAATGCATGCATCACAAATACAGTGCCTAATAAGGAAGAAAACAAAAATATACACAACGTGGCACCTATGAAGTTCAGCTCACATTAAATTATAATCAAACATGAGCAGGAAAAAAAATTTCAGTCAGAAACTGGTGAAGAAATAAATAAAATTAGCCGGGTATAGTGCTACACGTCTGTAATCATAGTGGCTCAGCAGGCTAAGGAAGAAGGAACTAAAATTCAAGGCCAACCTCAGCAATTTAGTGAGACCTTGTCTCAAAACACTTAAAGGGCTGGGGATGTGG